AAAATGTTGACAAGGGAAAGACCAAAATCAAAGAGCAATACACAAATGGCATTTTTGCTCCAAGACCTCCAAACTAGAAAAAGAAACCAAGTAGCAATTCACAAGCAATCCAAATCCTGTACTCTATATGAATTATCTCCTGAAGAGGGCAGCACCTTCTAGGTACAGAAACCCTTGTAAGGTTTATGTGATGCATATTTTACTGTACATGTATACTTAGAATTTCTTTTTGAATACTTTGTCAGATTGAAAAAAAAGCCTTCATATTTCACATTCTTCAAAAAATTTAACTCATTCCAAGAAAGAAAATATTCTTTATTCAGAAATTGTTCTCTCTCCATATTTAATCCAGAAATTTGAGTCAAAGTCTTGTAATAAAATTGAAAACACCCTTTCTTCCCAAATGTATTGATAGGGTGACACGTGTTTGTTTTAAACCACAAGAATACAGTTAGTTACCTCTATATCAAAGAAAACACTATTGCAAACTGAATTGTAAAGACTAACAAAAAATATACTGAATCTCATAATTTCAGGATAAAACAATCAAAATCAAACCAAAATAATAACTTCTTGTTAAAATCTAACAAAAATAATAAAGACAGTATAAAGAAATAGGAATACAAATTAAGAATTGGTTTAATTTGTCAAAGAGATGCCCAAAATATACTAGGCATCTTCAGAAACAAGCTATGAGTTGTGAGATTCATTTTTGTGAAACATAACTGAAAGATGAATGATACCTAACAGTAAAAAACATTGCTTATATGTAGTTGGGCTACAGACCAAAATACAACAGATAAATTACATAAAGCAGTATTTTTCCTTTTATGGTAAAAGTTATTACCTTGTTACACTGGCAAAGATTATAACAGTTCATTTTAGATCATTTAATGAACTTCAACAGATGGTTATCTATTTTGTTCTCATTAATTAAAATTGCATTAGAAGCATGAATTTCAGTGATTTCTTAAATTGGCAAATGTAAAAATGTATGCAATAATGTCAGAGGAAAAAGAAATGTAAAAATACTGAATGTGGTTAAGTACATGGACCTTAAATGTATGTTCAGCTAATGCTATCACCTGTGGGAGTGGGTTATTGCCCATATGAGCTTATGCCACAATAATAGATTATTTAAGGTGCCAGAAGATTCTTCTTTGTTTTGCTACAACTAATTAAAATCACTATGCCCCTAGAAATGGTTATAATGGAGACAATTACAATGTAAGGAAAGGTAAAAGACTGCATTTTGCCAAGTTTACAGCATGTCTTATAATTAAATGATAATTCTATTCTGGGTTGGCCATTCTAAATTATTTGTGTTAAAAACAGAGTGCAAAAAAAGGATCAATTGATTTAGGCCCACAAATAACCATTCAAAGTAGTTTTAAATAAAACTAACAAGAGTCTCTATAGTAAATTATATAAGGATTTCTGCATGACCCAATATCGCTTTTCCTATTAGCCTCAGTGGAGAATAGATTTTGTGTCTTGCTGACAATCATATGCATTAGGTTGTGCAAAGGCAAAGTAGTACTTTGGAGTGTGTGGGTCAAGCAAATCGCACCTGTCTGCAACTTCTTAAACCCAATGCATCTTTTCCTTGGCTGTGTAAAGTTGCCATGTGATCCCAGGAAATACACAGCTACTTTAAGGAGTTGCAGGTAGGTGAAACCTTTGTTCAGCTCCATCACATCCAATACAGCAAGCATGTGTTGGATTCATTATCTATTAAAGCATTCATTATCTATTCAATTTTCATATAGCCCCCACTCAGAGTAGCAGCATACAGATGTGACAGCAATTACACTTAATTTTGGGGGTTAGGAGAATAAAACAAGTATCCAGGCATTTTTTTCTGAACAATCTATTAAAGGTGAAACTCTGAAATGTAGCCCTAGTTCTACTTGCCAGAATGAGAGTTCAGTATCATAGAATAATAAATAGCTTTGTTTGGGACCCTAAAAGAGAGCTGGGCAGACTTCGTGGTTATACGCATAAAACCTCCTGATATACCACATGCAGCCTAGTGCAAAATACATAAACTTAGAGTTAAGAGCACTATGCCAGAATTTATTTTCAATAACAAAACTGAATAGAAATCACAGCCCTTCTTTACAGAAATGTATTCCTGGTTAATACAAACTTTCTTCATTTCAGCAGTATCATTTAAAGATAGTGATATAAAGGACTCATTTTGTTGCTACTGGTAAAAATAGACTGTAAGAAATGCTCTCCCATTTCTGGACTGAAGACCTCCAGCTTAGAACCTAATAGCATTCTAGAAATTTAAACTGTGAACAAGCTACTAGAGACAGAACTGACCTTATCTTGTATAGCATTTCCTGACTTTCTATTAGAAGGTATTCTCAGGATCCAAATCAATGTCTATACAAGTACACATTTAAAATGGGACAAATGCAAATCACTACATCTTTATGTTTTCTTATTAATATACAGAGCATTATAAACATTTCTTGAAATTTCCCAAAATAAACACACTGAAAGTACAAATATGTAAACAACAGATAAAAATATAAAAAGCTGTTCATGTTTTTAAGCATCAGTAGGAAAATAAAACAGGGAATATGAAAAAGAAAAGTCTAGAGTTTCAAACATTTGAGACACATTTGCCTGAAAGAAAATAGATTCCCACTCATGATTACTTAATTTTCAAAGCTCGCAGTTCCATAGGCCTACAGCTTTTCATTATTATCACTGTAATTTTCAACATACAGTACTTAGGTAGTTCCAACACTCCTTCACCTTCTTTTTTCTGTTCAATACATTTCTATTATATTGTCTTTCACTCTCTTTCTGCACCACAGGTGGAACTTTGACGGGGCTCAGAAGCAATTCCGAAGAACAAGCTATCCAATAAGAACAAGAATAAACAAGACATGCTTCTGCCTCTTTGCCTGACGTTTCCCAGCACGAACACTATTCCTCACTCTACTGTCAGCAGCTGATACTTAAATTGTCAGGAAAACAGCAACAGCATAAATAGAAAAATAATTATGGTTCCAAAACGTCAACTTTCTTCCTAACCCATAGCAGAATCTACATGGCAGGTCCCATTCTGGGTTAGTCACTAGATATACAATACCAAATATCTAGAATTTCTAATCTGATATCCAAAGACCTCTATATAGATGAATTTTAGAATCCATTCACATTTCTGCCTTTGAACAGAACTTTTACCAAAAAGAAAAAAAAAAGAATTCAGAGGGATGAGTCATAGCTATCCTGCCAGTTTAATATGACCTGACTTTCCTTATAAAGAATAAACGGATTTTTTTTTTTTTTTGGATCAAATACTCCTTCTTATTTAAAGTAGTCTCCCTGGAGGTGAGCTCATCTTCTGTGAATTCATGGACACGTCCACCCCTGACAACAATAAAGAAGTAGTTTGCCAGCACCTCCTTTCAGGATTTTTCAAAAACTTTGCAGTCTAGTCTAAAGCCCTGGGATTACAGGATGGTCTCCCATCCAATTACAAATAATGTCTAACTCTGCTTACCTTTTTTTCAAATCAACTGAGGTGCTGCCACCTGCTACAACCTTACTGCTTTGTTTTACCAATTATAATACTTCAACAGAAGCAACTGTGGCCAGTGAAACATATGTAACAAACTGCAAAGGATGACAATAATAAGTAAAACACTATCAAAGCTAAGAAAATGACAGAGGCATTCTAACATTTAATCCACTTGTGAGTTAGCAAATAGATCCTGGCAAGAGATATTTACATTCACGAAGTTTACAATGGTACCATAGAAACAATCATATCAGCAATAGTAGGAATGGTAGACTAAGTGTTTCAAAGGCCAAAAAAAAAAAAAAAAATAGAAGCAGGATATACATTACTAATTTCAGAGAAAGTGAAGGAAACTAAATTCACAGTATCTAGAAATGTAAGGAACATGAAATCCAAAACTGAAGTTACCTAACAAAACTTACCATAATCATGGAAAAGGATAGAGGCAATAAGTTAAACAAATGCTGCAGAAACTACAAGGAGGAGAAAATGTCAGCAAGCACATAAATGTACTGAAAATCATAGAATCATAGGGTTGGAAGAGACCTCAGAGCTCTTCTAGTCCAGCCCTCTACCCCGCACATGAAGTGGCTTCTTGAAGTGATGAAAAGGAATAGGGCATGGATGGGCAACGGCAGGAATGAAGAGAAAGGAATTGCAGCAACATAACAGAAGCATTTTTAGTGCATTTGAGCTTCTGATATCAATGCTAGAACACCAACAGTAAAAGAGCACAGCGATAGTAATGTTAACAGCAAAGCTGAAAACATATATATGCTTAAAAAAATCTGTAATTATGTGGTTCCAAGAAAAGCATTTCAAAATAAAGAGGGGATCTACAAGGAAAGTTGTATTTAGGTTAACGGTGCAGTAGCAAAAGTGGCAAATTTCATTGGAAGACTATCAGCGATGGCAACGCTGCTATAAGTGATAGCAGCATCCATATCAGTGATGGATAGTGACATCGATAAAGAAGGCCGGAGAGATGGAAGTGATAAGTAGACATTCAACAATAATGACATGGCAATGAAGCTGCTGAAGGCAGAAGTTTCACAGCACAGTAATGGTGCTGGTTATAAAGGGCATCATGACAGTGACGGCTGCATGATGTGCCGGAGTGCGATAATGGCAGTATAACTGTGGAAACGAAAGTGACCCACAACGGTACAGCAACTGCAGAGACGAAACGAAACTGGCTGCGGAGGAAAATAAGAGCAGAACAATGAAACCCACAGAAGTCATGTAGCAGTATTTGACACTGGCAGCGAAGAACAGTGCATGTGGTACAGGTGGTGCCCAAAGTGGTCCGCATGGCATGGCAGGGGCAGCCCCAGGGAGACTGCACAAAGGTCACCAAAGGTTACAGGGCCAGTGGCCAAGGCAGGCCTCCCCGGCACACCTGGTCGAAGGGGAGGAGCCCTGTCCCCTCACCTGCCACCCTCCCCGCTTTTGCCCTCACCTGGTGAGGAAGGCGCCCTGCTGGAGTGGGGAGGCCTGGCCCACAAGACCGGACCCACTGGGCGGGCTTCTGCTGCACGGCTGCCGCCGGGGCTCGCCTGCCTTGCCAACCTCGGCCGCCTTCCCTCCTTTCACCCCAACTTGTCTCGGCCCGGCGAGGTTCAGGCCCCAACCGTCGCCGCCGCCGCCACCGACGACGACGACGA